ACATGAAAACAGTCCCTCTATTTTTCATACTATATTTTCCTATAATTTTGACCACTTCATAAAGGCTCGTATTTTATCTCCATGTGATTGTACCTGTAGAAGGAGAACCGGTTGTGAGCTATATGAATTTCATCTTGGAGTCGTATAGCACAGAAAGTACCCCGCAATGAGAGGCAACACGTGTTGGGAAATTTTCGGCCATTGGGGTTAGAGAAGAAATAATCCACCAGAAAATCAAGAACATGAAAATGGAGAAGAAGAAGCGACAAAACGAACATGAAGGCTTGAACGCGTAATCGCTATACTTAAACTATATTTGCCCCCCTCTCGGATATGATTTTGGTGCTTAAAGGGTCTTACAACAAACGGTTTGTAGGATTATAACAAACCTTGTAAATAATCAATACTTAAGCACTTGTGTGATTCTCCATAACTTGAAGAACACTAGAGGAATTTGAATATGGATGAAGAAGATTTTGGTTTCTTCTTTGTGGAATGAAAAGATTTTTTTCATATGTTTGTGATATGAATTCTATATTTTTTTTTATTGATCATGCATGGCCTATTTATAGACCTCAATCAATGCCACGAATTGGTGCCAAAACCATGTTGAAAGATTGCAAGAAGCTCTCCAAAAGCCGCCAAAAAACTAACTAGAAACGACCTCTAACGATCACTTGTTTACTACCATGCGACCGCATGGTTCAACACCATGTGGTCGCATGGTTTAAGGATAACACGGCCACTAATTTTCTGACATAGGCCATGTGACCGCATGGCCTATTGGTCCATGCGACCTTGGCTCCCAATTTATTTCTTCGTTCCACACTTGTATCTTATTAATGTTGAACAATATATAACAACACGAATTTCAGATAGCATTCTCGACATGACTCCCTAAAGCTTTCTTTCTAAATTTCTTCTCATGTTTATGTTATATTGAGTTATATGTTTGTTATTTAATTATACTGTATATATATTTGTTATGTTAATCAATAATTTACACAACAAATCATCTATTTTTCCCAACATAAAACACAATTATAATACAATCCTGTCGGCTAGCTATAGATGCATACATGTAACAAATAGTGTTATATCTTTCCTTTTATCAACCATTGAAATAAGGAGAATTAATGATGGACTCTTTGACATGTGGCCTTGATGATTGGGTTTTTCTTTGTCTTAGCAGCCAAGGACAAATTGGTGTAGTATTGCAGCCGAAGAATACGAAAGAATACTTTTTCTATACAGCTGTATAAATTGTATTTGATTTTTTTTTCCAAATATTGAGATAAGTAGCGTCAAAGTTTTCTTAATTTGCCCTTTTTTCTTTTCTACAAATTTAATATTGCATCTCCCAGTCAACATGCAAGATCGTGTTTGCATTGATCAACTGAGTTTTCTCTTTGATTTTTCATGTAACTAACATTGTTTTGCAAGATTTTGATGGGCTCATTTCTTCGTAGCTATGTCATGGCGAAATTTAAGTCGACCCACGATTAGGTATTGAAAGCAACAGAAGCTCTGTGTGTGTGTGTGTGTGAGAGAGAGAGAGAGAGAGAGAGAGAGAGGCTTTCAGTTCAATGACTTTGTTATGATGTTTGCCAGTGAAGCAATCTTTCTAATTCAACAATCAAATATATAATTTATATGATTATTAAGTCATTATTCTGATTATTAAGTCTTTATTACTCTTCACCCTCAATTCAAGCATTGGCCCACTTTAATGGCTCTCATACATGTTTCTGCAATTAACTTGTAATATCACTCATTTGTGGTTAATATGATGCTTTCAAGAATTAATACACCCAAAGTGGGTAGAGATATGCTAATTTGAGAGTATATACTTCACAAGAAATAATATATGATCTTCTTTAATTTGTATTGTAATCGTGGATACATTATTAAAAAGTGGACTCTCCTAATGCCAGCCTTGACTATAAGCGAGATAGGCGATCGCCTAAGGCCCCATTTCAATAAAGGCCCCAAATTATTTTTTTTTATTTTTTTATTTTTATGTATATATAGGGTCCTATATTTGAAATTGGTTTAAGGTCTCCAAAATCTTGGACTTTCCAAGCAACAGAAAAGGATCAAAATCACTCATTGCTTGTGATCATCAATGGAATCATATGGGAATTAGATTGCTTTTATGTTCAGCATTAGTTTCGACATGCAATATAATGCAAGTAAACTTAGTATATACATTCTAGTTGGTTGTTGAGGACATGTAGAGATCAATATCAGTTAGCTGTATGGATGCTACAGCTTCCTCCTTCTTTTCATTCAAAATTTCTGTCATTACAAAATTCAGTAATTTTAAACAAAATATGCATGTAGTATCCATTCCGCCGCTTCCTACTTTGAAAAGAATATCCAAGCAATATTATATAGAATAATTTTGAAATAATAATAATAACAACAACAATATAGCCAGAATGACAACGGGCACGGGGGCTGATAGAAAAGTTGTAATTTGTGTAATCTAGCACCAATAATTCCGAAGAAAAAAATTTCTCTCTATTTTTTATATTAGTTGAGATGCATATGATTCAAGAAAAAAATTTCTCTTTATTTTATATTAGTTGAGATGCATATGATTCAATAAAAGAGTTCTAAAAAATCTTTGACGTCTTTTTTTTTTTTTTTTTTTTGGTTAAGCTCTTTACAATATAGGTAATTCTTGCAGTCACTAAGATTTCAAAATTGAAGTGCTCTTCTATAAAAATTCATCAGACAAAAAAAAAATTGATTTTTTTATTTTTTATTTTTTACTTTAAAATACATATTAGTTTGTTTTAAACCCATTTTTAAATTATCAATTGTTATTAATGGTAATTACTAGAGTTGTGTATGATAAGTGAGATTTTTACACTTATTCGACCTGTCAAAAGTGAATTGAAAATCAGTTTGATGGAATTATTATTTAATTTGGTTAAATTTCAATTGTTGTAGGATAAATACGATGCTGAAAGGCTATTAATAAAATTAATTAAAAATTGATAAAAAAAAAAACTCATTAAAAGTACAGAAGAGGACTCAAGCTAAAAAGAAGAGGTACCTAAGTAAAAATTATTGGCAACTTATCACAGCGTTGTGATCGGCTATAACCATGTGATCACGTGGTTCATTTGGACAAAAAATATTTTGTTGTTTTTTTCTACTTAAACTCTTTATGGAATGTAATTGAGACTCATTTTTAAGCTACTTTGGTGGAAAAATTTCAAGGAACCAAGCTTTAGAGAGATAAAAAAGGGGCAAGATACCAAAATACATATTTCTACACACGAATCAAAGATTATTGCTTGAATTTTGGATGAAGAAGAAACGGGCTAAAGGAGACTATTCAAGAAGAATGAAGAGATTCAAGGATTGAAGACTTTTTCCCTCTCTTCTTAAAATCAAAATTCGGGTGATGTCTCAATATTCAAATATATATTTTTGTAACTCTACAATGTTGGGCTAAAATTTTTAATCACTAGGATGAAGATTAACACTTTATTATGATGTTTTAATTTCAATCTTGATATTTTGACTTTGGATGCGAGTTTATCTAGGATAATTGTTTTACGTACGATTAATGTTTTCAATTATGTAACTAATAATGGAATTGAATTATGATATTTGTTTTATGCGAGAGAAAGAACAAATAATTTAGCATATGATGACAATCATTATAGGGTCTGATAGATGATAGATATATATTGTTATGCATTGCATGATCTAATTGAATGTCAAGTGATTGAAGGCATCAACACATGCTCGCGATTGTGAATATATTTAGTTATACTTGAGATAGATAAAATTGGTATATAGAATGTGAAGTTAAACAACTGCAGGGTTGGAATCCTAGTGTTTTTTGTTAATCGAGTTTATAAACTTCTTAGTTGCTCATTAGTTTAGTTTATAGATACTAATTTTAAGTTAATAAGTTATAAAATCAACCAACTGTATTCTGCTTTTGAGTTAGTATACTAATTAAAATTGAATTAGTACAAGATCCTCGTGGGAGCGATATTTTATTAATGGATTACGATAAACATACACGTACGAAGTTTTAGCCGATCAATATATATGCTATATTTTGTGTAAATAAACAAACAAAGTATTATAATTTGTGATTGTGAGATATATATATGCTTAACAAATTGTATTCTACACACCATTGGAGTACTCTGATCATGACACTGAGACTGAGACTGTTTGCCTTGTACAAATACATTAAACCTCAACTATAAGAAAATATAAACTTTATTCCGTATTTTACTTCCTTTTAAATTAGCTTCTTTTCTTTTTATGATTTAAAATAAGATTTTTTTTCCCCTCATTTTTGCACAAAATCATTACATCTCAATAATATTCGTAAACATTAACTATTTTACTTTAAAAAAATAAAAAAAAAAATAATAATAATCTATCCAAAATTTGACTAGAAAAAAAGAATCTAAAATTTGAATCCTTATTCAATGCCAACTTTGTTATTCGCCATTATGATAAGATTAGTTTACTTTCTTGAACTAACATATTATAAATGTTACAAGTATAAAAACATTAAAACTTGAAATATATATAACTAATTACAAATTATAAATACAAACCGAACTCAACCAAAATTATAAATTTTTTAAGCTGATCATTTAATGCATTTATCTTTTTTGAATAATACTTGTTCAATTATTTATTTGCATTAATTGGTTTATTATTTACAAAGAAAATATTGTGCTTAATTGTATGTGAATAACATATACATTTCTTGAAAAATAAAATTTTATTTTCATAATTATATTTGAACATTATTATGAAAAAATAAAAAATAAAAAAATTTCTTTTAACTAAAAGAAATGTTCCAATATAAAAATAATAATCTTTTGTGAGAGAGAGATAGAGAGAGAGAGGGAGAGAGGGAGGGAGTGGGGGAGAGAGAATTTCGTAATTCTATTGATAGGGAAAACAAAAAAAAAGAAAAAGAAAAAAGAAATCTATTCAACTCATTTTAACCAGTACTAACAACTTCTGTTTGTAAGTACATCTCCTACTAAAAGTATTGTCATTTCACATATTATTTCATCTCACATATGCATAAGCCTACATATACAATTGATCAGATGACTCTTTATTTTTTCTTCGCCTCAACTGCCATTCACTATGCACATTTTGCTTCACAAGAAAGATTATTCATTTTAGTTACCAGAAAGTGATTGACTGGATGTCTCTGCCCTTCAAATGCACTTCCACCTAACATCACTAAGAATTTATTTCACGGGATCGAGACGAAGGAAATTTGCAATACACAGTGTATTCTAAATTCGAAAAATTGAGTATTTTCAAGATCTATAACTCAAAATGTTCCAAGAAAAATGGTAACGGAAAGTATCAAGATTACAGTGTAAGAGAGAGCAAGAAAGAGGCAGAAAATATAGGGGAATAGTGAGAGAGAGAGAGAGAGAGAGAGAGAGAGAGAGAGAGAGAGAGAGATTATTCAACTTGGAAATCAAGGTAAGGTAAGGAGGAGACATTTGCCAACAAACCCTCCCAATCTAATTCTCCCATTTTGAAGCTATCTCCTTGCCAATGATTTTCAATCCCCACGATGTCTTCAACTTTGATGCTTTCAGTACTATTATTCAATTGGCCGTTGATGTTCCCATTGGTGTCAAAAGTATAGTCATATACAGCATTATTAGGCTCAGTCCCTTTACCCTCTAATGCAGGGACAGAAAGGTCATTTTCTAATCCCATAACATAAGGTTCCATGACTCCATAGTCCTGCTCAAATCCCCTATTTGACATATCAACTTGTTCTAAGCACGTCGAGAAATCGAACGAACCGGCTACCGTACCATTTATGAGGTCGAATTTGTCGTCCATTAGAGGAAAAGGGTTGAACTGGCTGTTCCTAACCATGGCTTCCATGGAAGAAGATGAAGAAGACGATGAATCCATGTACATTGCTGTAACATTGTATTCGTGCATGGGCATTAGTCCTTGCATGGCAGCATCCATAGGCTCTGATATTGAGTCACTGTTCATGTTTTGGGAGGATGTTGAATTATTTTTATTATTTTTCAACCTCTTCTTCACTGTGGAATTCCAAAAATTCTTTATTTCATTGTCCGTCCTTCCTGGTAGACGTGCCGCAATTTGAGACCACCTTATATAAAGTTGGAAAAATGTTAGAAAACATATGTTTGCTATACGAACTAATCTACATGTATAGGAGAAAATTTCAAAGAAGTCTTACAGATAACACACAATAGTGAAGTGGGTGGTTTATTTTTTGTAATAAAATATTTGCATGTAACCGACCCTATGTGAGAGCCCTGTAAATCTTCTGTAAATTTTCTTCTGTATACAGGGAATAATACTTGATGTACTTCCAAATAAAGGTGTAATAGTTTATCAAGTATTTATCTAGTTAATTAATTTGCCAAGAAAACCTAAGTCAATTAAGTTATTTGTACATCCCTTATTGATAACCATTATTGACAAACTTTATGTTGTCAAAATTTTGGCTATTGATTTAAAAAACAGCTCTTAACAGTTTCAAAATAGATAAATGTGATGCGGTGAAGTGTGAAGTTATCAATCAAATTAAAGTTGTGCAAATATCATGAGTGTTGCAAAGTTATGCACGTAGATTTTAATTCTATAATGCTTGCATGGAGGCCTAATTAACTCTACAAAACAGAAAGAAATATTTTTCCTGAGTTCATCTTAGCCCATGTTGGACACATTCGCACAATAAAATATTTTACATGTCAATTCAAAAGATTTTTTCACTTTTTAACCATATATTCTTTAAAATATACTATTCTAAACTATGTTTTATAAATTTTAAGGCCACCTAATAGTGGCTTAGTCAACAAGTTTATGGGCACGAAGGTGTACGAAGGAAAGTAATTTGGTCATAATTCATTTTTGTAGAGTATTTGTCCTATTTTAATTGAATAAGAAAAGTTATTTCTTTCTAAAGGGTTGTGTGACAAAGTTTTTGATAAAATATTTTGCACATTTTATAAAAGTTGATGAAATGCAGTTAAAAAAAAAACATTCCATAAAATGTATACTAAAATTAAATTTGACAAGCTAAAAGTTATAAAATTTTAACAAAGTTTTATCAAAGAAACACTAAATCATGCAACATGCAGTAGATGTCTCATTGTTCTGAGTACACGGCCCTTGTTTGATTGGCTTTTATTCAGCACTTCCCTTTTTTATTATTTTTTTTATACGTACTTATTTTTAATCATACATTCATACAATAAAATATTTTGCATGTAAATCCAAAAAATTTTCTTACTTTTTAACTAAACATTTTCCAAAAATTCACCATTCAAAACATCGTTTTTTCTAAATAATGACCTTCAAATAGGGTCTTCACTCTTAATAGGTTATCTCACAAGTGTAAAATAAATATTATCATTATTTATTTGAATTGTCGTAAAACCAATATTACCATAATATATGTAAATTACCCTAAAATTGAAAAATTCTAAAACATTTGGAAAATTAAAGGTTCAAATATCGTTATAAAATAAACCAATGTTTATCAAATGAAGTGACTAGTACAAGTTAATTAGCTATGCCTGTGTAAATTTCTAATCAATAAAACTTTGCAGCTCATACAAAAAATGATAATAATACAAACACCAAAAATGATGATGATGATGATTCAATCTGAAACTTCCAGACATCATTGTTGGAGGAAGCACAATTTTTTAATCGATAAATAATAAGATCTTCGTGTAAATGAAAGCTTAGATCTCACATTTTTCACCTTTAGACTCGGTGCTAAATAACTCTGTAATTTTTTGCAGCTTCATTACTTAATATGGTTTCATAAATGCTTACAGATCAAGATTATCCACACACAGACACGTATCTATAGAGAGAGGGAAAGTACCTGTTGCCAAGAATGGAATGCAAATGAATGATAAGTTCTTCTTCCTGAGGAGAAAACGCGCCACGTTTAAGGTCAGGTCTCAAATAATTAATCCATCGAAGCCTGCAACTCTTCCCGCACCTCTGCAATCCGGCATTTCTCGCAATATCACTCCAGCAACCTTGTCCATTTGTCAACATGTAATTCATTAGTTTCTCATCCTCTTCAGGCGACCACAATCCCTTCCTCAATTTAGCCTTAATGTTATTCAATTTTTCCTTCCCCATTTGATCTCCAGGCTTCCTCATTTTCCCAGATTATTATTTCAAATAATGGGGAGAAAACAAGAGGGCTAATTTATTTTCTTGTTCCAAGTGGGCTGAGGGAGACTCTGACATGAAGCTATATAGAAGAACATAATGAGAAAGAGAAAGAAATTTTAAGATGGATTATGTGAAGTGGAAGCAAAATAGATATGTATTCTGATACACATATGATGATTACCTTGTGAGTGAAGAAAAATGCATCTAAAAAGATAAGACAGTCGAAACACAAGAAGACCATATGTCCCTTTCTCTGCCCTCTTCAAGGTCCCTCTCCAATCCGTTCTCCCACTCCACCTTATGTTAACCAACATTTTATTCACATTTTCTTCAGTTTATAAATTAATCATAGTCCCACAGCAATCACCATTACCACACCTTCAAGCTTCTCTCTCTCTCTCTCTCTCTCTAGACTTCTCTCTTTCTGGAGGGTACACGAGTACACGTGTTTCTGAAGTATAATGTCTGGAGATTAAAGAAATGGAGGTATTTCTGTTACACTTCCCTAATGCAAAAAATGGGATTGGTACGTGCAGGAAAAATATAAGACACAGATGTGGATAGATTCATTACATGGAGTACGACAAAGGTTGTCTGTTGTTGAATTTTTATAACGAAATTCTTAAGCAAAATTGTGTATATTGTTGAATAGCTTACAACCGAATTTCTTCAAATCAACCTTGGCACCCTTTCAGAAGAAGATATCATTATGATAAGATCTATCTAAATGAAATTCTTTAATTACTTTGGTAAATTCTAAAACCTAGTCAATTAAATATTCTTTGAATTTTAATTTCACTTTCCGGATGGAAGGCAGTCAGTCAGAACTTCATATAACCAGTTTCTAACAGAGTTTTTGATTGGCACATGTAGGATGTGCTGTTTTCAAATAGTTTATACTTAGTGCATGTGGAAATAAAATAGCAAATCAGTACTTGAACACCAGATATATGTAGTAAACCCCAAAGGAAAATATCCACAGGCCCATGTCATGAGTAAATCAATCCACTAAATCAACCGATCAAAAATAAAATAGTTGCAATTTCCCAAAATTAACAAAAAATAACAAAAGAAATCTAAGAATGACTCCTCGGTTTTCTTCTTCTTTTGATTTGTCGTGGAAGTGGAATCAAACCTTTTGGTCCTGACTCTATCGCTATTTCACTATTGTACTCGACGGTAACCACCACTTGGATTAAGAATTATTACGTCAAGTAGTTTGATCTTTGAATTGGATTGAACATTCATTCTCTGGTGTGTTTTCTTCCTGTATGGTTGAAGAACATGAGATTATTCAATAATGCATGGCATCGGGTGAACTCGCTGGAATATGGCAGAACTTGTTGCTACACGTCACTGTCGGGATGCTGGTTTCTCAAAGCAGACTTTGAAAGTATTCAATAAGGTATGAGTTCGATTGCTGAAAGATGCCAGAACATGTGACTCTTAGGTTGTTAGACTTCAACAGAATTTTCAAAGCTCTTTTCTTCTCTTGATTGATTACCTATTACTCCACACCTTAAACTCTGCAATCATCATAAAAGATATCTTACCATAAAAGGTTTGCAATTATCATAAAAGATAAATAATTTTGTGATAAAATTAATCTTTTATGATAATTGTTTATCTTTTATGATAAATGCATACCTTTTATGATAATATTTTTGAAAAAAAAAAAAAAATTAAAAATATCTAGGAAGGTATCAAATTTATTCTACACAATCTGTATATGTACATATAACAAGAAATCTCATATAAGAAAAAATTATAAAATTGCAGCTTTAAATAATTTTGGGTGGATATGTTACCTTTCCAGTCAGTCAAAAAAATTGTGATTTTTTCCCCCCCACGATTTTGACAAGTAATTTTTCATTGTATGACAATTAAAAGTCAACAAATATATTATGCAAGACAATAAATAAAATTTGTAAAAATATGATCCATATTTTTCCAACAACTTTCATGTAAGCAATTATTATTCCTTTGAAATAATGGTTTTCAGATAATATTTATTCCAAGACTTCAAACGTTATTCTTGATGTTACATCGAAATAGGGATTTACTTTAAAGATTCAAGCTGCAGTATTAATGTCAAATATTTTGAATATTTTTTATAGGTATAAAGAGGAGAATTGAAAATAGTTTTTGTTTATTGTAGAGTGAAAACCCGCAACCACCAAGGCGTTATCGGGCTCAGTTCACCACCGAATCAACACCACAATCGAGCAACAACCCATACACACAACCGATCCTTCCCCTTTTTGGTTGCTATTGGATTACCCACAAAGAGACAACAAAGGAAAGCCAATCTCACGCAAGAATTGACCACAAATATAGTAGAAGTAAGCCAACCAAAAATGGACAGAGAAGTGGAGAAGAATAAGAGGTAGCAGAGTCACGACTTGGAGGCGAAGAGGGGACAGGCCTTTTTAACCAAATGGGGTAAACAAATAAGGTAAGGTAGGCTAGGTTAAGATAGTAGCCCCAAAGGCCCAACACAAGAGTAGTGGGCTTCTAAATGGGTACCATTGCTAAGCTATCCAAGTAAATGGGTTGAGCAACGAGCAACTCTATTAAATTAGGTTGCTTCGAATGGTCCATCCAAATTGGGTTTGGATCGTCCCATTTGCGGTGTCGATATATCGTTCAATCATTTGGTCTAAGCCAATTAAAATTAAAACCGAGTTAACATAACAGCCCGAGAAAATTGATTGACAACAAATTGCCCAACAAACTTTCACCTTAGTGTCAAAGGACCTGCAAAGAAATATATACACATGTTAGCAATAATTCCAATATAAGGGAACGATAAAATTGAAAATTAATTACTTTCACCAATGTTTAGAAGATTTTTGCAACTTTTAAACTTTATCAGTGACAACACCTTTGTGCCCATGTCCGAAGGATTGTATTGTGTATATTGTGTACCTACATTTCAATAGGTTTATTAATAAAACCGATAAAGGGTATATCAGAGTTTTCTTCATTGCTATTATAGAATAATATCTAAAATAAATGGATCTTGGACAAAATTTTTGCATTGCTTCCTTACCCATTCAAGTTTCAAATTCTCCTCCCATAATGAATGACACTCTTTTCAACAAAAAGTCAAGAAGATCCATAGTATAAATTTTATAGCAAGTTGTCTGTCTACAAGGTAATGTTTTTGAACTAGGTAAAAGCACAATCAATACAATCTTACAAGTAACCTTAATGAAGGACTGAAAAACCTTACGTTCGACCCAATTAACACCTAGAGCGGGGGTGAATAGGTGTTCATGCGGAATTAAAAAAACTTATCAATTAATTTGTGCAACAAGTCACAAGAATTAAAGTTTGTCCAGATTCATTCACATGTCTTAATTACCTATGTTGAATTACCGGTAACAATAAATAAATTAAAGCAATAAAAGAACACAACGAATGTTGACGGAGAAACCCCAAC